AGTGTTCAATTGAGGAAAGCTGCTGGGATTAGTGTTGTTATTAATTACAATAACAGAGATCTAATTTGAAGAAAATGCATAAGATGTTAGGGCCTTAAATTACCTAGCACCAGAGGTGCTGTTATCAGTTGGAATATCTGCTCAGTCAGACTGGGGACAGAAGTCCTCAGTTCCCTCCCGTGTCAGAGTAGATCGCGGGACAAGAATAGTTGTGAGGTTGCAGCTGGGACCCCAGCAGGTCCTTCCGTGAGGAAAAGGATCGTGGAAGGTCACAGACTTTGCTGTGAGGGAACTATCAGCTTAGCTGGGGAGCCAAGAATAAAACTTATAAACAGTTAAAAGCAATAACATGAACCATCATATTATAGTTATGCAAAGTAATACCTCTGTTCGGTGGTATATGTAGGGGAAAACAAAATTCTAGGAGGACATATCCAAAATGTTAGTAGTGGGAAAGCCATGACTTTTTAATTTAATTTTATTTTTTAAGATGTATTGATTGATTTTTAGAGAGGGGAAAGAGAGGAAGAGAAACAGCAAGCAGTGTGTGGCTGCCTCTTGAGCGCCTCTGACTGGGGACCTGGCCCACAACCCAGGCATGTGCCCTGGGAATCCAACAGGCGACCCTTTGATTTGCAGGCTGGTCCACGGAGCCACAGCAGCCAGGGCAAGATCATGACTTTTTTAAAAATATCGTAAACTTATTTTATAGTCAGGAAAAAAATGTTAGTTCTGACTGATGTAAGACAGCATATATTCCAGAGTGAAGAGTTCTGGAACAATGCAGAAGTGAGAAATCATGTGTTGTAGAATAGTCTGGGAGGGTCCCATAAGGAGGTGGCGTTTGGGGACTTCCTACAGGAGGGGTAGGGTTTAGATGTACGGGTGGAAGAAGATATTCTAGAGATGTCTAGATATTTAATCGGTGTACGGTGAGACAGGAGTTCCTTGCACAGGACAGGAAAGAGCGAGGTTGCTAAACATAAAGTTCACTTACGGTCTGAAAGACGGGTGGGGAATTTTCTCAGCATTGCTGAAGGTCTCTCGGGGACTGCCCAGCACAGCCTGGGAAGCCTCCCAAGTATTCTGCCTCCTGGCCCGCTCATTCTTTCCTCTGCAGCCTATCTCTTCTTGGATGGTCCGCACCTTCCTGGCGGGTGCGACTTTGTGTGCTGCTGTGCACACCACACTTTCCATACCTCTTTACCTTTTCCCACGATGTTGCCACACACTGGAACACACTTCCACTCCCTGATGCCTTGACAAATGTCTGTTTGTCCTTTAAAGGGCTGACCAGGCATCGTTTTTGTGAAAGAAGTTTCGCCTGATCCTCTGGCCTCCAGATTAACAATTTTCCCTTCTACATTCCTTCTAGGCTGCCTCTGTTCTATGCATCAAGTTATCTTGGGCTTATTTAGTATCTTGTCTCATCTTTTCCCCTAGACTGAACTCCTTAATTAATTTTTAATTTTTTTCAATTACAGTTAACTTCAATATTATTTTATGTTACTTTCAGATATACAGCATATTGATTAGACAATTAGATACTTTACAAAATGTCCCCCATGATATTTCCAGTCCCTAACTGGTAGACTAAACTTCTTTTTTTCCTAAATACTCACCTGAGGACATATTTATTGATTTGGGAGAGAGAGGAAGGGAGAGAGAGAAGGAAACTTCGAAGCAAGATAGCAACATTGATCGGCTGACTCCCACACGCACCCCAGTCAGGGACCACACCTACAACCTTTTGTTGGACTGGCAGGCAGGCAGTCCAACCACCTGAGCCATTCAGCCTAGACTGGACTGAACTTCTTCTTTTTTTTTTTTTTTTTTGCCCTTTTAGAATGAACTTCTTAATGGCTTTAATCGTCCCTGTGTCTCCAGAGCCTAGCAGACTGCCTGGAAAATAGCAGATGAACTGAACTGGTCTGGGCTGTGCCCAGACTAACTGAACTGAGGACTTCTCTGGAAGGGAGAATTATACTGGGGGAGGGGGGTTGGAACACTCATTGTTAGGGATAGGGGAGCGTTTGGGTGCTTCTGGTTTACAAGCCGTTTGCTACCTGATATCTGCTCCAATAAATTCCATCAGAGCCACGACTGTCCTCTGTGAGTGAGTGAGTGTGTGAGTGTGTGTGTGTGTGGTTGCACACAGGCAGAGCTAAATGGTGGGAGAATTAGGATGTACTATAAATTCTGCCTTGGGCCTAACTTGTGACATTACCAGAAGGCAAACATCTGTGCTTCCTCTGGAGGTTCTCAATGTCCGTTTTAGTTCAAATGCCCTATTCGCATACAGGAGGGGAAAGTTCAGAGGAACACCATAGAATATTCATCACATTGCTGGCATTCTGAGAATTGGGTTGGTTAAGTGGCTCCCCCCTTGGTCTTGCCTACCCTGAGCCGGGAGCATCTAGATTTTGATTGGACTATTGCCAGAGCTCATTAGCATAATGTACCTTGACCTGGATTAGGGAACAGCAACTTCTGCCTAGAAAATGACCAGAACCTGCTGGGACTTGAACCGGAGATGAGGTTTTTATAACACAGCATTGTCTACATCTCCATAAGAAGTCACAAGGTAAGGAAGCCAGAAATCCTGAGGAGCAGCAAACCTAAGGGATGTGGTAAGGGCCACCCCGTTCTTACAGGTTTCCATTTGTTTTAGCTGGAGTTTGTTTGTTTGCTTTTTTTGGTAGAAATGATGAAAATTGAATGCACTTTGGTCTGAGTTGCTTTAAAATAAGAAAGTCTTGACAAATTTAGATTTTTAATCCTGGAGGAAAGCCGAGTTTATTTATGTCTTCCAGGCTACAAACACACTCTTTCCTTCTTTTCTATGTGTTGTTATCCTTCAGGGAAATATTAATGTTCATTTATTTGGCCAAAATTTATATCAGAAAAAATTAAAAAACAATGTAATTATTCTGCAGCAAGATATTTGATTCTTCTCTCCTTAATTTAAAAACAAAAGAGTGATGTCTATGTTAACTAAGCTTAAAATAATGTTTTTTATTTTAGAAATTGTAAATCATCTTCTTTAAGTGTTTTTTGGTTTGTTTTGATTTTTAGAGAAAAATGTTAACCTATCCCAATTAGCTATAACAGATTCTAGACCACTTGAGTGACTTTTGTTAATGTTCAAAGAGGTAACTACATACAACTGTTGAGATCACATTTTCACTTGGTATTTGTGTCAAATACACTTGTTCCCAAAGTTTTCTAAAGTCAGTCGGCAGCATCATTCCTTAATTAACTTGATGTTTGTTTTCCCAACATAAGAATTTGATTTCAAAGTTGTGGGAATTTAATTCCGTGTGTCAGGGTTCAAAGTGGGCGGTGGGGACTTCATGTTCTTTGAGTCCGCGAACCACAGGGGAGAGGTGAATGTGGGTCAGTGGGGTGAGGAGGTCTGCACCTCTGGTTAGCCTGTTATTTCACGGCCAGACTTCGTCTCTCTGTGCATGTCAGCCATCTTCTATATCCACACGCTCGGTGACTGACAAATGTTGGGGTTATATAAAGTCACACAGCTGAGGAAGAGAGCACATGGCACTGTTAATCTAACTGGTAGTTTGAGTTTACTATTGAGTAGTTCTACATTAACATCATCATGTCCCTTGTTCTTACGAGAGCAACAGGACACGGTAATGAGGCAGTATTTTTGATCCGGGAGAGGAATGCATGTGCGCAGAGAGCCGACTTAAATGATACTCTGAGTTTTGACTGCATGCGGTGCCGGCAGCTTTAACCTTCACGTTGTTCAGGGGTCAGCTTTGCCTGTAAACCTGTGTCGCTTCACATTCTACTACCAAGCCCATTTTATCTGCAAAATGATTAGCTTTTTTCTCAAAAGAACAATTCAAACCAACTTTATTTCTTAATTTGTAAATCTCCTTTAATTATAGTCAGAAACTAGAGCAGTATTTCTGGGGGTGGAGGGGGAAGAAATGCAATTTGCACAAGATTTTGAATATCCGGGGTTTACATAATACAATTTAATCGAAGTAAAGTGAGAGAGAATTTTCTCGTGGGGGACAGGAAAGGGCTACTGCCAAAAATGAAGTCAGAAAGTCTTGAAGAGTGCTTCAGGTTGAATGACCAGAAACACTATGTTAGAGCTATAGTTCTCATACAATCCCTCCCCCCACCCCAGGAAAACCTTGGCCATGTCTCCAGACATGTTTGGTTGTCACAGCAAAGAGGGCTGGTTTTCGACTAGCACCTAAAGAGCAGAGACCAAAGATGCTGCTGACCTACGGCATGAGATCCTACAAATGCAGATCACCCCCCACAACAAAGGATCATCATGTCCAAAATGTCAATAATGCTGAGGTTTTAGAGGAATCTCATGTGAGCATATCATTTGATAATATGTGAAGATACAAAATTATACTGGATTTATCGAGGAGACCAAAATTAATTAGCGACTTAGATTTTAAAAATGCCGTAAAGACACATCTGGTTGTGATGTTCCCTTCCTGTAACTTCATCCACATCATAGCTAATTTACGAAGGCATTTCCATGGAAAGAATGCCAAGCCAGCTTTCCCTCTCCAATACAGATATATGTATGGGGGAAAGGTCCTAACCACTGGCTGCAGGTGACAGCCACTTGCACTAAGGCCTTCACCAGCCGGGTTCAGCAAGGAGGAAGGCAGCCTGGACCCAGAGGTTCTCGCAGTGATCACCGAACTTCTGATTCCCAATGGTCAGGCTTTCCTTCAGCAAGATCCCTACCAGCTTATACACTTTACTTCTGTTTGTGTGTTGGTGATTGCAAAAATGTCGATAAAATTTTTTTGAGTTAGACAAGCCCTGATTTTTTATCTCTTTAATGGTCAGTATTATTATCATTTATTTTTTAGAATCAGAAAACAGTCTCCTGGCGTAACTGCTCTCTGAGTGGACTCATCCAATCATATCAAGAGCAAAATTCTTCAGCACTGCTGAGGGGAGTTGAATAGACGGAAATTGGTGGGTGACCTGACTTTATCATGGAACCTCAGGAATTTGATTCTGAGGACAAAGGGATATTAAGCTGGGATATTAATGATATAAAACTTCCACAGGTATGTACTTGCTATAAGAATGTACCTTCATTACAGGGTAGGGTGGGGCTAAAGTATGTTTACAGTTGTTTGTATGGAAAACAATATAATGATTAGCCCTGGCGGGTGTGGCTCAGTAGTTTGAGTGCTGGCATGAGAACCAAAGGGTCGCCAGTTCAATTCCCAGTCAGGGCACATGCCTGGGCCATGGGCCAGGTCCCTGGTAGAGGGCACACGAGTGCCAACCACACATAGATGTTTCCCTCCCTCCCTTCCTATCTCTAAAAATAAAGAAAATATTTTAAAAGGATCGAAAAAGAGAAAATAATGCAATAATTAATAAGTAATAATACAAGAATAAACTCTGTTTCCATGTACTCACAACTATAAACCTACTTTTGCCCCACCCTGTTTTTGCCGATGAAGCCTTAACTATTAACTTGCTAAGACTTGGAAGGAAATTGGTGGGGGTCCCAACTGGGTAACTCCTCTCCTCCAGAGCTGCAGCTAGACATCCCAGCGAGGAATTTTTAAAGATGCAAAAACCTGTGATTTGAGTGAGTCTCCTTAGCAGACCTTGCCCCCACCCCTCCACCCCACCCTTGTTCTAGACCGAGACACAGAAAATGCCACTTCCCTGCTCCTTCGGTGTTGGCTAGGCTCAGGTTGCACCCACCTGACTAGCTGAAAGAATAAAATCCGTGATCATGTGTTTGCCCGTAGATTAACTCTTCATAATGCACATGCTCCCGTACAACTGTATTTGCTGTAGAAATGGCTTTGAATGGAATCTGTATCTGGAAGGTCCAAATGACAGAGCTCGTGTGGGACACAGCATGCTCTGCTGGATGTCATAAACAGCGCGCACACACTGGGCTGCTTTCCAGCTGTTTTTCCAGCTGTGGGACGGCTTTCGTCTGGTGTTTTCTTGTCCTTCATTTCTGGCAATTGACTTTTTAACTGCTAATTTGGTGGAAAACATTAATTGTTTAAAACTGACTTCCTTGACCTCCCTCTCTGATATCTGAAGGATGCTTTGCTGGAAGTTGTTTGAAAGGGGAGACTGAGAAAGCTAAGACTGGAGACCACCACTACCAAGTACTGAAAAATTTGGGCCAGTCTGCCCGATTCTGGGGAACAAGTAATTTGAATTGTCCCAAGCAGTGGAGAGGGGATGGAGAGCCCGCAGTCTTGATTTATAACCACCCCAGATTTTCACTCTGAGGAAGGCTTCCAGATCATTCCAAATTGTGCTCTTTCTTTTGTTTTTCGTTATGTTTAAACCTTTTAAAAATTTTTCCTTGTTTTAAAAGATTTTATTCATTTATTTTTAGAGAGTGGGGAAGGGAAGGAGAAAGAAAAGGAGAGAAAAACGGGTGTGCGAGAGAAGCATCCGCTGCCTCACACACACCACCAACTGGGGACCTTGCCTGCAACCCAGGCCTGTGACCAAACCAGAGACCTTTCGGTTTGTGGTGTGATGCTGAACCCACTGTGCCGTGCTGGTCTGGGCTCTCTTGTTTCTCTTCAAATCCCCCTTACATTCTCTCTTGGAAAAGTGATGGATCCTAAGTGTGTCCTGCTTTCCATTCATTTAAGGATGATTAAATTTCTATTTTAGGGATTTGTCTTCGTAGTTGCTCTTCATGGGTTTATGATTGTTGTAGCTGTTTTAGGGGACATTTTATGGTAAATTTTAATTACTCCTGGCTCAAGGACCTGTATTTCTGCTCGTTCCTAATTTCATGATGGTAACTCCCAAACATAAGCTGGGCATCCTCAAAATCAAGAATTGAAGTAAACAGGCCTACAAATGATTTTCAAATGTCACACCCCAGAGAAAGGAATCACACATTGATGCTTCTCTCCCTCCCTTCCTTCCTCCCTTCCCCTCTCTAAAAATAAATAAATAAAATCTCTTTTTAAGTGCAGATATCCTTTAAAATTTTCTAAGCAGAGACGACACCACCCTCAGCTGGGTTTACACTGGCTCTGAAATTGTACTGAGAACCAGTCTGAGGTGAAAAATAAAAGGTCTTGGGAGGATGTCCACACGTCCTCAGTTTTATGTTTTGTGCACCAATCTGGAAGCAGGCGGCAAACTCTGAGAAGCAGGGGGTGTGGAAACAGAGCCCTGGCGCTGAATTAATTCCAATTCTGCTGGTTTTTATCTGTAGAGCCTCGGCAGGAGTTGGTCACCTTTTCTGACACCCCTTTCCTCTGGAAACGAGGTGCTTGCACTCAGGTGTCTCTCATGGGCCCTTGTATTCTAATAGTCTAGGGTTCTAGAACTGTCGGCCCAGACCCACCACAGCGCCTGGTATATATTAAACAGCAGATGACAAATATGGAATTTATTAACAAATGGCTTCATTGTTTATAATCCGTGTGACTCTACACCAATTGATCTTCTGAAGTCTTAGGGACCTCCTCGGTGAAGTGAAAGTAGTAATTCCTATACACCTGCCTAAAGCTCTTTGCCATATAGAGCAGCCTTTCCCAAAATGTTTTCAGTGCAGTGAAAGTCACGAGCAATCGCAAGGGGCGCTGTGAAGAAAGGAAAGGAGAAACTCTAGGTTCAGCGACGTTCCAGCAGAGCCAGAGCCTTCCCAACCCAACTGTGCGTTGGTGGGTCTCCCAAGAGGAAGCCGTGTTAGGCAGCCTTGCCCTAACTTGTTTTTGACCATGGACCCTTTTTTCTGGAGTCCCTTAGGCAATTACTCTTCCTCACACCACCTGTTTGGACATTTGAAAAAAATGTTGTTTAAAGAATCAAATGCAATGATTTGTAATTATTATAAATTTCCCCAATTTTATTCTCTGTCTCACCCACACAAAGGATTTCTTGTTTACTTTTCATAATTTTATATACTTGCCAGGATCACTATCTCTGCATCCTGTGGGAAAATTCCTGCAACTTGTAAACCAAATTCCTTTCCTATTAACCCACTCACATGCTTCTAGTGTTTCACAATGAAACACTTAAAACATTCACGTGTTTCAGGATGGTCACCTGAATGAATCCTGATTCTCTTCAGGTCCCAGAAACACCATACCCCTGTACGGGTCGCAGATACATCAAGATTTACAGGTTAATTTTTGACAATAGTGAGTGGTGGTGTCCTTACCAGGACATCAGATCTTTTCTGAGTGACTAGAATGTGCCAGACATTGTAGCAGGCTCAGGGATACAGGGGTCCCATGGAAGAGCAGTGCTAACTTGATCTGGGCAAAGGGAGCAAGGTTAAGTGCCCAAGTAGAGAATTGGGGCCATGCAGGAAAACGCTCGAGGTGCTGGGAAGAGGAAGTGTGTAATTCAGCATGACCTGGGCACGGGAAACAAGGCAGAGCCCCTGGCAAAGGGCCTTCTCCAGAGAAGTGCATTGTAAGATGTGGGAGGATTACGGCAGGTGAAGAAAGCAATCAAGACAGTGTAGGCAGAGCAGGGCACCAGAGTCTGGAGCTATTCAAAGTCTGCATTTGAGGGAGCTTTGTGCACAGCGTCCGACAAGGAGATTTGGGAGGCTGTGGATGGGGAAAGGGGTTCAGGAGCAGGGTGTGCTAAGAGGACCGGGTTATCTCGCAGGCAGTGGGAAGCCATTAGGCTTATTGGGCTGGAAAGCAGTATGGTCAGATTTGGGTTGAAAGGGGCTTCTATAAATCGTCCCTGCTCAGTTTGTTTCATGTATGTTTCCTCCTTCTCATAGCTGCATAGATGTCTTTACAAACCTTCTTTTCACTTGTTCTGGTCACTCCTCTCGCTTGAGGTTATTTCGATATCCATCTCTCCTTAATCCAGTCCTTGGGGAGCCAGCCCAGAACTGCAGGCCCTTAAATTACTCAAAACCATCATTGAGAAAAGTCTGTTTACCCCAGGCCAACCTAATACACCAATTTTGCATTTTGAAAGTTCAGATGTAATTGCTTTAGGGTTTTCTGGGTGCAAGCAGCAAATGTTTGGTGTTGGTTTAGTTTTACTTTCATTAAAAATGTTTACCATGTGGTCCCAGAAAGTGTCATTAGTCCTGATTGTAATACTTCAGAGCCTTGAATCGCTAAGAATTGTTTTCTTTTTTTCTGATTGAAAATTGAGAAGAGAATCAGTTCCTTTTACTCCTAAATAGTCCCACTTCAGAAAGAAGGTGAGAGTACCCACTCCATTCTGAACACCGGCCAGTTTTTCTGAGCAAAATGACAGGGGTTCCGACACCACCATAGCAGACAAACACTCTGAATCACTGTGTTCCTAAGCATGAGCAGTTTTCAGCGTAAGCCCAAGGCCAAAGCCATACCGAATCATTAACTCACACAGCTGAGGTACATATTTGATAGGGGAAAAAATAAAGGAATACATAGGTTAAATAGAAATGCAGACCAACCCAAAACCCCGTGCGTCAATTATGAAGAGGTTACATCTCCAGTCAATTCCTAGATCATGATTTTAGCCAGAAAAGTTTCTTTAGCTTTTGTAGGGGGGTGAACAAAAAAAGATTAGCAAAGGTGACTTTTTTAGCTCTTTCTGTGAATTCATGCGACGAAATGTGATCAGAATGAGCCAGTTGTAGTATAATCTTTGTGTTTTGGTGTTAGAGAGCTAACAGGTATCAGATTCTGGATCTCTTGTCAGTTATTATCTGGCCGCACGATTGGGTCATGCTATGTCAGTCTGATGCAGACCCCCATGATTTTGTCCTCTTTGTCCAGTTTTCTTGATTTCTTTAAACTTCCTGGGGCAGAGCCACCTGTATGGGCTTCCGTGGTCATTGGGTCCCCTCTGACTCGGGGCAGAAATCTGCTGCTGCCCTGTGCCTCTGGTGTGATGCGGACGGGACCCTTACTGCCCCAGGAGACTCAGAGCTCTCTTCTGAGCACCAGTCGGCAGGGCCCTTGCTTAGTGGGGTGGGGTGGGAAGTGGAAGGGAGATCAGAAGAGAGAAGTGGGTGACAGAGAGTGTGAAAGCTGGGTAACTGGCTCACTTTCCTGTGATCTGAACTGAGCAAGTTAGGAACTTTTCGTCCTTGTCTTGACCCCTTAACAAAGGAAGGAAATGGCAGGTTTAGCCGCAGCAGGAATTATTGATTTAATTCAAAATCATTTTTGTTGAATTGAATTTCTCTTTTCAATAACACTTGGAGTTTGGTTTTCAGTTCTCTCAGAAGAGGTAAGTTCTTGAAAAGTTGTATGGAAACCCAAATGTTGGTTGAATTGTTTTTCTGTGTTCCATAAGTAACATCCAATTCTTTTTGCCTCTGATTTGCTTTAAGATGTATCTGTTTGCTATCCTTGTTTTATTTGGAGACATTTATTTATGAGGAATGACTAAGCTATTATAATTAAAGAAAACCTGGTGGGAAATTGCTTTATATGAAACTAGGCTATATTCAAAATGAAAACCAATTTTAATCTAAAACATGCTAATGTAGATTTTTTGATGCCTTATTTCAGAATTTTTACTTTAATTTGTTTGTTTTATATAATAGAATATATTTAATTCTCAAGGCACCCCATTAAAACTTTAAGTAGCTGAGTAAATTAGAATGATGGGAGGATGAAGGTTGATCTCTGATTGCATAGAATTTCAAAGCTTTTGAGTGCATTAGCAGATTAAGTTTCAGTAAAAAATTACACACAGAAGTCATAGAAACATTAATTAAGCTCCCAGTGATATTACCAATGAGGTCATAAAATATAAATTGGTTGGATTCACATGTTGGAAAACTTAAGAATATTCCCCTTAAATTATAAGCTTCTTAACCAAGAGGAAAAACAAAGAGTTACTCATGAAAAGTTAGAAATTAAAATAAACAAAAGACCTGGAGAAAACAGAAAAGGAAAGAAAATATTTTGTGGGGATTTGCTAAACACAATTAAGAAATGATTGTTCTTTCATTTACGTTTTACCCACTCCTGTGCCTGAAATTTAAAAGGCTCTCAGAAGTCGTGGTCCTTCACCTAGGTGCCTTTGAGTTATTGTGACCTGGGTTTTCCTTAATTTCAATGTCACAGGTCAAGGATTCCACAGAGCACCCAGGTCAAAAGACTGGGCATAAATAGCCAAGAGAATAGCTGGAATATTTTACTCCTAGTAATTTTCTCAAGTCCATACTTCGTCAGAATTGTTGCATTAGTGATGGTGCTGGAAACCTGGGGTGCAAGTGCAGGGGCTGCTGAAAAAAAACGTCTAAAAGACTGTAGAGCATAAAACATATTGTGACCCCTAACACAAACCTCAAGAATGTTAAAATAACTAAAAACACAGAGTGTGTTTAGTATCTACTGAACAATGTATCTCTAAATAATCCATGGGCCCAAAAGGAAGCCTGCAGAAAGGTCAGAATATACATTAAACTGAGAGAAAATGGAAAAGAGAGACAGACAGACAGACACACAGACAGTGGAGCTCTTTTTTCCCCTCCAGGAGTAGGGCGGCTACTTTACCAGCAGCCTCTGAGTTGCTTTCGTTAACACCTTCCCCTCCTCCTGGCTCCTGGGGTTGATGCCCTTGACCAAGCGAAAGGCGTTGTTGCTCTCGCCTCCCAAACATGAAAACCTCAGCTGATCCAAGTCTACCTTGGCCTGCCTCTGCCACCCTGACAACTGTGCTTTGCGTCTGAGTAATTAAAACCCACCGGTAGATTGTATAGCCCAAACCGTTAGACAAAGATACACATTTCAACCTGCATTTTTACTATTTCGGAGGATAGAGCGTTATGCTTTCTATGGCATTTCTGTGAAGATAAAAAGAGAGCCTTGTTTGGAGCTTGGATCAGAAGGCAGAGGAGAGAAGGTGGGTGGAGAAAGCAGGAGATGGGGCTGCCTGAGCTATTCATCTCACGCTGGGGCGTTGGATTTTATCCGGCTCAGAATTCCCGAGACATGGAGGAGAGAGGAAGGTTTGGAAGAAGCACAAAGTCTGTTCAGCATCTGGGCCTGACTGTGCCTCTTTCCTGGAACTCTAATGTAGCTGCCGGGAGGGGACTGCTCCTCCAGGGGCCACGCTCTGTGACTCTGTCCTTTCACCCCTCTCTTCTGGGCCAGCAGCACTTCCCATCGCACTGCAGGCACTTGAGCGAAGGGCCAGCTGTTGTCCGTGCCCTGTGAAGGTGGGTGCAACTGGCATTGCACCAATCACGCTTTGTTTGGTAGGTGCTTGGACTCCTGTCTTGCATTTGGCTTGGCGAGGTTTAAAGCATGAAGTGACCGCTATGCGGGCCTTTCTTCTCCTGAAAGCTGGTGGCTCCTGCAACACATTGGCTTGCTGTGTGTGGCCCTAGGTCCGTCTAGTAGAATAACAGCTGACGTCAATGTGGAACTTGCTACATGCCAAACACTGTGTTAAACATTTTGTGTATGTTAACAGATTCTGTCCTCATAACCCCGCTGTGGGGTAGGTGCTCCTGTTAACGGCAGGAACTGTGTTAAGACTCACACTGGGGCATCTGCCCCCGCCGGCCTTGCTGTTAGCCAGGCATTGGCAAACGCTCTGTAAAGGGCCACATAGTAAATACTTAGGCTTTGTGGGCAACCCAGTCTGTGCCATCACTGCTCAGCTCTGCCGTGGTGGTGTAAAGTATTCGTGGACAACAATCAATGAAGGGACATGGTTATGTTCCAATAGCACTTTACTTACACAAACAGACAGTTGGTTTGATTTGGCCCATGGGCCCCAGTTTGCAGACCCACTTTCTTAACCACTGACCTCTCATGTACGTAAAACCTCTCCTGTTCCCTCAGACCTGCCTTAGCTCCCTTGACATTTCATTCAAACCGCAGCCATCCTATGAGGCTTACAGACCTGCTCTTTGCAGTACTGTGGGAAGTGTGTTTTATCAATGTTCCTGTTTCAGAGAAGAACAAACTGAGGCTTAAGAGACAAAAATAACTTGCCCAGAGTCTCAGGTTACAAAGTTCTTTGGCATGTTCTACACTTGAATTTTTATCTCAGTCAACACCAGTAGTACCCTGATCGCTCCTTCTGGGCTGCCTAGAATCTTCTAGTCTGATCTTCTGGAATCTTCTTAATGAACAATGTTCTTATGCCATGACAGGTCTCTGGAAGCTGTGTGGATGACACAGCCCCAGTCTGATGCCTGAGATTGCTCCCTAATTCTCTAAGAACCAGGTGGGATCTGTCAAATGGAGCATCTCTGAACCAAAACGGGGCGTATGGAGTGTGAGCCACATATCAGTGACTAATATTGCATGGTCAGAACTACTCTTGAGATACTTGGGTCTTGTTATCCCTGTCCCATGCACGCAGAGAAAGCCAAATAACTTGGGCTCTAAGTGACTGCGTGCCTTAGTGTAGCTGGACGTTCACGCACAGGGACTAGGGCCAGTCCTGGACAAGAAGAGGCACTTCCGGTCACAGTCAACTCTTCCTTCCTCTCCTCCCTGTTTGAGGGACATGGCTATGGGAGTAGAGAAGAGGGAAGAGAATCTCCCCAGGGCAGGAAGGAGTTCTCCCAGTCCTCTTGCACCAGGACTTTCCAGCCTTCCCACTGCTGGTGACTTTGCATAAACCCTATTGTTCTTAATAAGGAAACCACACTGTGATAGGAGACAGCATCTCACTGTCCTGCCCAAAGGATTTCCACACTGTGTCAGGGGACAGTAATCTTACTTCACCCTCAAAAATTCTTGGTGAGAATGGTCCCAACTCATCACCAAAGGTTAGAGAAGCAGCCATCTTGTGGGACTTAGGGGGCTGAACCCCAGCTCACTGTGGTCTGGGGAGCAGAGGTTCAGTAGGCACAGCAGTCGTGTCCTGCTGCTGTGCTGAGTTCTCAGGTCTCCCCACCCGAACTGGACCCACGTCGGTCTTTGTGAAGGCCTCTCACCTAGCTCCTGAGCGCCGAAAAAAACCGTGTCTGTTGGCTCCGCAGTGATGGAGAGTTGTGTCTTGTAGCTTCAAATATAATAATACTCTTTGTGATTCCCTAAGGATGTGAAAAAGACTGACTGGTTCCAAGAATGGCCGGATTCCTACGAGAAGTTCATCTACAGCGCAGAGGACAGGAACGCGCAGAGGCACCTGAGCAGCTGGGCCATGCGCAACACCAACAACCACAACTCACGCATCCTCAAGAAGTCCTGCCTGGGCGTGGTGGTGTGCAGCCGGGACTGCTCCACCAGGGAGGGCCGCAAGATCTACCTGAGACCTGCCATCTGTGACAAAGCCCGGCAGAAGCAGCAGAGTGAGTAGGGCTCGCTGGCCTTGGAGACGAAGCTGGCTTCATTCCAAGGCTCCCGCCCCGATGGGCCGCTACTTCCCAGCACATCCCAAGGGCCCAACCTTCACACTGGAGTGTGGTGGAGACCAAGGTGTTCCTGTGTAGAACACATTAAGGAGAACCAACCACTCCCCTCAACCCCCGTGGGGGAACTGCCCCACAGGTCTGCCGTGGCCAGACCACCCACATTAAAAGTGCTCCCTTGGGTTAGGGGACCTGACTCAAGGCCTCTGTTAAAAGGAAGATGCCTCACTTACAGGACTAACACTAATTCATTGGTGCACCCTTGTAAAGTTTAGGAGAAAGTTGATTTTTACGCTCGCCCCCTGACCTCTCGGGGAACAGGTCCCTGAGTGACCTCGGGCAGTGTTTTCAGTGGGAGCACTGGGACCAAACTTAGGGTCAGGCTCATTCCATGACGTGGAGGTGGATGCCATCATTGCACGCTGAAATGTGTGCTCATTTTGGTTTTTTATCATGTCAGACTGTGAAGTCCATTCAACTTTCCCCATGACGTGCACACTTCAGATCTCCAGTTACATCATGCTCTGTCCTTGTAACCTGTCCCCGGGATTTTCTCTCAGGGCAGGACCTAACATCAGTCATTTACACTTCAGTGGAGATCCGGTAGCTGTGTTCTCTGTCCCACGTGGCTTGGGCCCTTGCCCCTGACTTCTAATCATGAAATAAAAGAACTTTTTCTTCTTCTCTGCAAAGAATTTCAAGTACCAATAAATAACTAGGGAAGGATTTTCTGCTCAGAGGCACTCCCCCCTGACCTGTGAAATACCCCATTCTGTAGGCCGTTTCCTCTGTCCTCACATGAGACTGACCTGGGCCGTTATGGTGGCCGGGCTTCCAAGGGCCAGGGGTAACGCCCAGTGGTTGGCAGTGCATCAGCCTATGCCCAGGTGTGCTCTCCATCCAGGAGCCCAGGCTGCCACCGCCCGGGCTGCGCACACTCAGGAGTCAGCTGGCGTGGCTCAGCCGGGAGAGGTCACCATCCTCTGCTCTTTTGTAGGGAAACGCTGCCCCAACTGCGACAGCCCTCTGAAGCTACTTGCTTGCCGAGGCCACGGGGGCTTCCCAGTCACCAACTTCTGGAGGCACGATGGACGCTTCATATTTTTCCAGGTTGGATTTGAGTTAGAGGGATAACATGCATTTCTCTTTAATTCAAGAAAAGTTTACAGAGTACAAGGAGGAGTCTCACACCGGCGATGCCCCAGTGAAGGAGACCCGGCCCCAGCCACGAGGCGCACTCTGGGCGAGCAAGTGTGCTCACCCCACGCCCCGACAGAGGTGCCGAGTGCAGAGCCCTCCAGGGTGGCTGACTGCCTCTGGCTCGGGCCCCTGAGGGTTAGTGATCTGATCACACAGCGGGTTTGCAGCCCTGCCTCACGTGGCAGCCTCCAACAAACCCCAGAGTAAATTCCAGCTCTGACTTCTGCAGGGCTCTGTGAACAGAAACACTTTGCTCCCCTGAGCCTCAGTTTTTTTGTGACATCTGGGGACTTAGAAGTAGACGTGGGGGGTGCTGCGCACAGTGGTGAAGAGCAGCCTGTCCCAGCGGATAAGATAAACTGCCTGGGTTTGAACCGGTTGCTGCTGATCACCCCACCCTCCAGAGAGAAAATGTCCTGGTTTGTAGGGCTCACCAGTTCCAGTGCTAACACTCTTCCCGTCGTGCCTGATTTCAAGCTGTGGGCTGTTTTAACAACCTGCTCACAGGATTCCCCACATCTCGAACGAGTGGCTCTCAGCGTGGCCGGCTCCAGCACATTTGGAATCCCAGCTCACCCACGTACCAGGGGGAGTGACCCCGGTGCCATACTCTCTCCGTGCCTCAATATCCCACTCTGTAAACCGGGGACGAGAACGACGGTGTGTGCATTCAGGGCTGTGCTGCAGGTTAAATGAAATCGTGTGCAGTAGGCATCGCTTGGTGTCCCTATGAATATGGCTTTGCCACACGGGTGAGACATGAGCAGCATAAACAAGAGCAGGCCAGAAAGCTCAGGGTGGTCGTGGGAGGCACTTAAAAGGCTTAGCCACCCTGAGGGTAAAATTTTACACACCAAAAGCACCACCCGGTTATTTATTTTAATGCCCTGTCTCTTTTAAGTCAAAGGGAGAACATGATCATCCAAAACCTGAAACCAAATTGGAAGCCGAGGCAAGAAGAACAATGAAGAAAGTGCACACTCCATCTTCCTCCACCCTGAAGCTGAACAGGGACCCAGAGGCAAAGGTAGCCTTTCCCCACGTGTGTTCAAAACATCCTGCAACTCACCACTCGCTACCTACAAACGAGAGCCAGGAGTCATTTCCCGTCAGGCCCACCTCTAAGCAGGCGTCTGCCACAGAAACGGAACCCAAGGTTTTCCTCTTAATGTCTACCATCTTTGTAGCATGCTCTCAGTTATACCTTCTGTGTAATTTTATTTTTTTTAAAAGATTTTATTTATTTATCTTTAGAGGGAAAGGGAAGGAGAGAGGGAGAGAAACATCAATGTATGGTTGCCTTTCATGCATCCCCTGCTGGGTACTGGCCTGCAACCCAGGCATGTGCCCTGACTAGGAATCCAACTGCAATTGTCTGGTTCGAAGGCCCGCGCTCAATCCACTGAGCTACACCAGCCAGGGCTGTTCTGTGTAATTTTAAGAGCTTCTTCCCTGCTACAATGAAAAAGACACTAGAATTAGCACTTAACCTGTATTTGGCACTCTATATTTTGGTTCTGATAAAAACAAAATGAACTAAAATGATCTCCACAAATGTTAGCCTCATGCTCCACCCCCCCAATCTTCTTTTTTCCCCCCTAAAACAAATCACAGCTGACCCTCCAACAATGCAGGGGTTAGGGCCGCTGACCCCACCCCTCCAGCAGTTGAAAATGTGCAGGTAGCTTTTGACTCTCCCAAAACTTAAGTTGTCCCTTGGTTGTCCCCATAGGGGACTGGATCTAGGACCCCTCGTGGGTCCTGAAATGCACAGGTGCTCCGATCCCCTGTATAAACTGGAGTAGACCCTTGCAGGCAGGTGGCCCTCTGCAGCCATGGACTTCCGACTTCAGATCAAAAACAGAGCAGGTATTTATTGAAAAAAAATCCACAAGTAAGTGGGCCAGCACAGTTCAAACCCACACTCTTCAGGGGTCACCTGTATTTCCTTAGCACTCTTTACCAAGATGAAATAACAAGGCAGTTTCTGCAAACAGGTCATCAGTTCAGGGTGGGGGTTGAGAGGGCGTGATATGAAGTCCATGCCTCGTGCGGGTTCCATTGTACTCTCTAGTTTATCTGCCAGATCGTGACAGTAAGTCCTGTGTTCTTCTACCGTTCAGTGCTCCACCTTTCTTTCCGGGGGGGCAGAAATGGAGCCAGTCCCCCCCCCGGAGGCTCTAAATGTACTTTGCATTTTAAAAAATATATAACTTGTATCTCGTCAGAAAATGTAAGCCCCAAGTTCAAATAACTGCCCCCCCATCCCTTCTCCCAGCCACCGGACGAGCTGAAGGGCACTTCTCACTGGCTCTTCCCTGGTCATGGCCTCTCCCCACCCCTCATCCGCTTACTAGTCAATAGTTTTACCTAAACAAGAGGATTACTTAATTCTCCACTAGATTCTGTCTCCATAACTAACTGGGAAACAATATACTTCCTCCACTTGTAGAAATATATTTATAGAAGTCCTATTTATGATTCAGCAAAAGGAGTTTATAGAAAAGCCTTGAGAAAATAAAAATAACAACCCTGGTGTCTTGGCCTCCACATAGCACTAAAAAATAGAAAGGTCAAGGAGGGAAATGTGAGAGAGAGATCCCCTGGGAGTTGTACTGAGTCTGAGATAAGGCTTCGAAGCTGTAGGTTTGCTTTCCTTAAACAGCACTTCTGAGTTTCTCACAGAGGCCTTTAGGATGTCAGGTTGTCCTCCGAGGGGGAAACGTTTACATGCACTCATGTCGGAACCGAGGGCGATTCAGCTCCCCCCGGGTTAGTGAGGTTAGAATGCAATTGAGTGGCCTTCACTGGCCAGGCCCTGGGTGGTCTGGTGGGCGCTGCTCTCTGTGTCCAGGCTTCTGCACGGAGCGAGGGGACTCTGGAGACGCACCCGTGAGTACGGAGGAACTCGCGGGCGCCTGGGGTGGGTGTGTCAACTGGCCTAACTTACCAACATGAACTCTTCACTTTCCTTTCCAGTCTGTTCCAGCAGAAACACAGAGTTGGGGGAATTTACCTTTAGCTTGGTCTTTCCAGGAAGGCGTCCAGTTGCCTGCTAGTGACAGTGGACATTTAATGGCTAACACCCCCCTGCAGAAGTCACCGAATGACGGCTTGTTTAAGAGTTACAGTTTGGGGGCAACCACTGACCTGGCAGACCCCGCTGCTCCCATGTGCCCCACTGAGCTCTATGAGAAGTGCAAAGTGCCCAGCAGCCGGATCTACAGCGGTGGAGACCCGCTTCAGCCTTCTGTCTCTGGAGTCCTCCCTGACTACAGTGATCTGCAGATGTGGAATAAAAACGCTGCTTTGGGGAGAAATCCTTTCAACGACAGCAGTTGCCCCAGTTACCCTTTTCCTCAGACCAGCTGGTCTTACGACTTCTCCCCTTCCCAGAGCTCTTTAGAACCCCTTTCCCAGCAGATGCCAGTGGAACCCCCTGCAGCCAAAACGAGCTCTCATCCATCATGGCAAAATCCAGGGGCTGATCTTTATGAAGAGAAGGTGCATGTTGATCTTAACAGCTACTACCCTTCCAGCACGGGCCACCCACCGCAGGAAGACCCCTTTCTCTTTACCTACACCTCTTACCCGCACCACCAGTACTCGCTGCCGGGCAAGAACAGCAAGTGGAATTTTGATGAAGAAATGAGGTATGTGGGTTTGGAGCACTACAACAATGAAATGCTTCTGAATCTCTGTCCCTTAAGATGATCTGTCTCTGAACCCTTCTACTAACGAAGTAGATCTATTTCTCCTGACCCTTCTATCGTTAGTAGAAATGTGATTTGGTGCATTCATCATGGAGAACAGTATGGAGGTCTCTCAAAAAAATTCACAGAAGCACTACCCTATGACCCGGCAGTCCCACTGCTGGGTTTATGTCTGAAGCAAACAGCATCACTGTGCCACAGGGATTGCCAGCACCCCCACGACTGCCGCACCATTATTTACAATAGCCCAGACATGGAAACGTGCCCACGACGGGTGAGTGGATGAAGAAGTCATCGTGTGTGTAGATAAACAATGGAACACTATTTAGCCATAAAAAAGAAGGAAATCCTACCATTGGTGACAGCATGGATGGACCGTGAAGGCATTGTGCTGAATGACATAAATCAGACAAAGAAAGATTCACTTACATGAGGAATCTGAAAGAGGAAACCCAAATTCTAGAATCTGGGATCAGATTTATGGGGTCCAGAGGCAGATGGTGGGGGGCAGGGTAACTGGGCAAGTGTACATACGACTTCTGGATGAAAGCCTAAACTCAGATGTATGTTTTGTAAAGACTGTTTCCCAGTTTTTGTATCCTCTTTATTCCGTGGCTACAAAGATTTTCCCTTATATTTTCTTCTAGAAGTTTTTATATTTTCAGTTCTTACATTTTGGTGAGTGTTCCCTTTCGAATTAATTTTTGTATATGGTGTGAGGTAATCAGGGTTAAGCTTCATTTTAGTTTTGAATGTGAATATTAGATTATTTTAGAAAGTTTTATCATAGTCTTTGGTTAAATTTGTACCGAGAATTACTGCTTTTATGAATTGCTTATAGCTGGGCTATTTGGTATACTATAATTATATTTCCTTTTTTTAGACAACAGTTAGTTTCTCCTGGAGTTGATAATTGTCTCATTGCATTGCTTAATTCCCTATATAACCAACAACAGTCTATTCTCAAACACTGTCCAAGCAGTGAAACTCTTTTTCTTTATAGTAACTCCTATTTTTCTCAAAATACTGCTCTATTGTCTTCTAGCCTCCAGCATTACTGTTGAGAAGTCTGAACGTCATTTTGCTTTTTAGTCCCATAACTATGGCCTACTCTTTCTTTTTAGGTGTTTTTAGGATATTTTCATTACTCTGGTTAATTGAAATATGATGACAATGAGTGTTGGTGTGGGTCTTTTTATTTTTTATTCATTATACAGGACACTTCTTGATGTTTTTTACGGATCATCAGATCTTTCAGTTCTGAGAGATGCTCTCGTTTGTTTATTTTTTTGAAAATAATCGTCACTGTGAACATGGCTATGGCACTGGGGCCTTGAGGTGGCACCTTCTGGTCCCTGTACACCAGCCTCCATCGGCTCTTGGTGGGAAACTGACAAAGCAGCATAAAGAGGCACCGGAACAGCAGGAATCGGCGATTCTGTGCTGGAAGCTTCGGGACATGTTGTCTACTGCAGTCTGCCTGAAGTTAGGACCCACCTGAACAAACAAGACAAATTTGGTGCTTTGGAAAGTCTGAAAGCTGCTAGTGAACCCCATCCTCCTCTGTCGGAGAGATAACTGATTCATGGAGCTCTTGCAGAAAAACCAGGACTTGTCAGCAAATCTCGTTGTGACGCTGGTTGGTGACCAAGATGATACTGAGTGACCCTGCAGGAGCTGGACGCTCTAAGAAGTGAAGGAGCGCGTGAGAAATACATCGAATCTACCGAGGAGCGGAAATGGAACCCCCCTAAATAAAGTAGTATGAAACAATCTAGCATAGTTCTTTTAAATTAGTGGTGGAGAGAAGATTTAAAATAGCAACTTTTAGCAGTACCGATGGAAAAAGAAACTACTTAGAACAATGGTACTGGGAGAAAATAGTTAACTTTCTACTGACGGCAGATGAACACAAAATACATCTTTTCCCCAATACCCTATAATTTTTAGGCTAGGCTACAGTTATAATATTCAGAATTCTTGAAATTATCTGTGGTATCAGCTAGTTATAAGATTATATAATTTAAGGATAATATTGTCATTAGCCTTATATAACTTGCTTACATTCATCTCTGGATTTGGGTCAAAATACTTAATAGTCTTTCCATTGGAAATAACTGGTGGTGGAGATGTCTTTATTTGTTGAACAATGTCAGGTGACAAACAGTACTACCTTCATTTTGTAATACTCTGTGTTTGCTGATGCTATTTTTATACAGTGAAGCAATGGTTTCGTAGGAAAATAAGTAATAGTCTAATAAAATATTCAACTTCTTCATTAAACATAATAATCGCCTCTTCCCCTTTTTCTGGTTCTCTTTTTGGGATTTCTCTTTGCGGGGTGTTGTACACAACCAGTTTTCACGGGCACCTACTGGTACACGTGAACCGGCTCGGCCGCATTCCCCGAGCCTCGGCTGGTCCCAGGAACCACGCCTGGGTGCAGGGAATGTTACCAGACATCACACCTGACTGAAGGGATCCAGGTCTATGAAGGTCAAGATAAGATACAGATAGAAAAGCATAAAAGACAACAAAAAGTGGGAACACGGATATTCCTAGTTACTAGAGCACTGGAGTGTATGTTTTATGACATGATCCCTGTGTGAAACCCAGACATATCCAGTTTAGCACTTGACTCAGTGCAAGGCTCCTAGCAAAGCTCAGTGTGTGTAACCAATAGCATGCCCCAAATGTAAAGAAATACCAAACGCTAATCAAAACCAACAGTGGAGACGATTATTCTGACTTCAGTGAACAGGTTGTAAGAATAAAATGTCCAAAGTCGGAACATCATAAATCTTTTAGTTCAAGGTGGCAGAACATATTTATGCTTTTGCCACCTCTTCCTGAGATCTTATTAAATGTCAGTAATAAAGTACAAAAATATAATTAACTCATGAGCCAAGAGAACATTCGGGAGATCATGAGTACATCAGGGATAGTGGCAAATTTCTGGGCAGCGGGAAGCGGGTGGGATGCATACTGACTCCCACCGAGGAGGCTCAGAGGTGAGATGGCGGAAGCGAGACTGGGGGTGGGAGGTGTCACGTCAGTGAGCTGAAGGGTAGGAATGAGGGGAGGGGCACTGTAGATAGTACCAACACTCAGAGGTCCCACGGATCCTCTCTACCAGTAAGGCCCTCTCGGCAGGCATTCATCCAAACACAGAACCTAGGGAATAAAAAAACAAAACCCAAGAATTGTCTCGGAAGACATGAAATCATCCATTCTAGGAGAACTAAAGCTTCTGCTAGGGTACTTGTTCCCCAGAATAAAACCCTTCTCATGCTTGCTTTTCGGGGGCCAAGCTCTGAAGGCACCCCAAAGCAAAGACTGCCTGCTTGGGATGTATCTGCTCTTGATGCTGGAAATGTGGGCCCGCACATAAAGAGAAATAACCCTTGCCCCCTCTGTGGCCCTGCAGTGACCTACTTCCATGGACTCAATCATGTGTTCAGTGTTCATTGGTTTCCAGCTGTGATAACCGCAGCTCTAGCTCTTCCTGTGGTAACCGCAGCTCAGTGGATTGAGCGCCAGCCTGCAAACTGGAAAGTCGCAGGTTCGATTCTTGGTCAGGGCACATGCCCAAGTTGTGGGCCAGGTCCCCAGTGGGGGTGTGTGGAAGGCAGCCGATCAATGTTTCTTTCACATGTGTTTCTCTCCTTCCCTTTCTCCTTCCCTTCTCCTCTGTCTAAAAAGAAATAAAATCTTTTTTTAAAAAAGAAAATTAACCACACAAATTCCAAAAGACCTATAAAGCTCAAGCACGGAATGTAACAGTTGTGAAGGCGCAGTTAAAAGTTAAAGTGAAGCTGGGCCTGGACATCAGGCCAGGGTTGGCAGGTGGCCGTGAGTCCTGGCAGCCCACGGGTCCCTCCGGGCTCAGAGGACGAGTGAGAGAGGGCGGCCATTCACCAGTGGGGTGAGGGGAGTGTTGGGAGATGGAGTGGAGGGAAATGATCGCCCATGGTGACCAAGGGAAAAGGAGAACATGAACTTTAAAACCGGAGCCAATTGCCAAACTTTCGTCCTTACATTCAAAACAACGAATACTTGTCCAGCTTCTGACCGGAAGGTCTCTGATCCCGGGTGATTTCGTGATTTGTTCTTTCATGCAAATATTTACATAAAGGCCACCTCCAGAACAGTTCTTCCCGGACGAGAGGAGAACAAACGTGGCCCACATGTTTCCTTTTCTAGCTCCCTTTTACCCTGCCGGGAAAAATACTATTTTGGAACTCTAAGCAACCTCTGCTAAACCTCAGGGATAGTTTTTGTCTGTCATGAGAACTTGTGTTTCCTTTAGTATAAAGTAAAATATGATAATCAGACAATAATCTGGAAACGCAGTGTTCTGGCTGACGCAAGGTGAGATGTGAAGGACTGGGAGTTCTTGTTCCTTCTCGCACCTTCCGTGTGACTTCACGCCAGCACACGGTTTGCTTGTGCACGGACGGGGACAGGACGCTGCCCTCTTTTCTGAGAGAAGAAGTAACTTGGAGTCAGTGCCCTGTCAGCTGAGGCTCGTTCTGTGTCCGTGGCAGACCTTTCACGGGCCGTCCTGTTTCCACTCCTTGGGTTTTGCTCTGGTTCTAAGGGAGATGGAGAGCATCCCTTTGAGGAAGTGAAGTCCACAGTTCACAAGCTGTTGGAACTCCATTCTGAGATGCTGGAAGTTGTTCACGAAGGTTGGGAGAGAAGGTTGCCCTATGTTGCCACGTATAATGTGTACTTTTTTGCCCAAATTTTTGAGGGAAAAATAAGGGTGTGCATTATACATGGGTATACTAATACTGGGTCTAATGTGCACAAAACCATGGATGGCCATTATACATGGCAAAATATGGTAAATTTCCTGGTATTTTTTATTGAGAACACAGAACATGCCAGACATTGTCCCAAATGCTTTCTGTATGTCACTTTATTTCATGCTCAAAACAATGATACAGAAAGTGGTGTTGTCTTCATTTTACAAAAAAGAAAATTGAGTTCTGAGACGTTATTAACTCACAAGGGTACCCAGGAGGCGGTACTGAGTTAGGGTTGGTTAAGAGTGAGAACCTTACTGTTGTCTATGAGCAGGCGCCCTCGTGGGGCGGGGGGAGGAGCTGGGGAGATGTTGGTCACCGCATGTGTGATTCGCACTGGGAGGGTGACTGAGTTCTGAGTCTGTAATGCACACACAGCATCGTATTGTACTTCCCAATATCGCACTCTATACCTGAGAGTTGCTAAGAGACTAGATCTTAAATGTCCTCACCACACAAAAGAAAATGGTACACTGAGGCACATCATCATTACATTAGCCAAGATTAAAATGAAGGAGAGAATCCTAGAAGCAGCAAGAGCTAAGGGGACAGTCACCTACAAAGGAGTTCCCATCAGACTGTCAGCAGATTTCTCAAAAGAGACCTTACAGGCAAGAAGGGGCTGGAAAGAAGTATTCCAAGTCATGAAATCCAAAGACCTACAACCAAGATTGATCTATGGAAGGACAGATAAAGTGCTTCTCGGATAAGATCAAATTTAAGGAGTTCATCATCACCAAGCCCTTATTATATGAAATGTTAAAGGGACTTATCTAAGAAAAAGAAGATAAAAAAG